TTTGCATGCAACGTCGTCGAAGATAAATCAAATTGGGACGTGCCTCGTTCGGTGGAATGACGTCACCGTTGTTGAAGAACGTAAAGTAGTCGATTTCGTCGATCGATGTCAACAAAGTTTCGAGATATCGATGTTTTGTGCATCGACTTCGAGTATACGTACACGTCTCGAAACGTACACCGTGCGAACTCTCGAGCAAGCTTAGAGAATGTTGATTTTATCACAGTTCGACGGTCCGCAAATGATGGTGTGTATAGTATTCGGTAACATTTCACCATGCTTACGCTTCGTCGCGATATCCCCCATCATTTCACGCTTTCTCGTCGCAGTTCGCGACGCGTATCATCAGCGGCTGCCGTACGAAATTTCATGTTCGCACTGCGTTATTTAGGCTTCAATTGAATGCCTATTTATAGGCGCGCGAAACCGCGAATCGCTCAATTGCAAAAATGTATCTTACGCTGTCCTTCCGATATTCGGGACTTGAACTCTGAGCAGTTACATTATATCGAAGGTCGTTCTGTTACGCGTGTGCGGTGACTATATCACGTGTGAGACAAACTTCTGGAGCATATAAAGACGGATTTGGAGATTCGAACCTATGGTCGTTGTGTCAAGCATTATAACCAATCGTGGCAACGCACGCACATCGGTCTCGCACCGAAGATAAAGGATTGTAGCGTATGTCAGTAGCAGCAGCAACGTCAAACGAAGGCTGCGTTGGAGGTCTGCTCAATCGAGCGATAAACGCGCTTCCTTTCGAGTTACATATTCCCGGCTATCAGTTTTGCGGTCCGGATACTCGGCTGAAAAAGCGATTAGCTAGAGATGAAAAGGGCATAAATCCACTGGACGCGACGTGCCGTGAACACGACATTGCGTATTTTCGGAGCAACGATCTCGCTGACAGACACGCGGCGGACAAGGTACTCGCCGATAAAGCTCTAGGACGCGTCATCGCGATAGATTCGACTCTGAGCGAGAAAGCTGCAGCTGCAGCCGTTTGGGCAGCGATGAAAGCCAAATCCAAGGTATGGGTATGAAAGCGAAGAGAAAAGTCGACAAAAAAAAAAGTAACGAATACTTCCAAAGGCGAAACGAGGTGGCGATTCTGCCAATTTTGGATGCTCTCGGGTCCTTGATGGCGAAACGGCCAGCGTGACGAAAGCGGTAAACGACAGGAAAGTCGCGACGTCAGCTCGAGGAACTGCAACGTTACAATCGCATGGTGGAAACACGCGGAAGAAGATTATATCTCTCTCCGTACAAACGCGGAGGTGTAACAGCGAAAAAGGGACAAAAAGAAAAAAAACGCCAAAGAAATAAAAAAAATACCTACGGGTATAACCAATGTACAATTGGACTGGCGAGACATATGCGCGTATACCATACTTCAGGTGTTTTCATGCTTAACACGTTATCGGCATTAGTGGCGCGCGTCAAAAGGAGAATGATATCGTAAATTTAGACGACACAATGGATCCCGGTATTCATTGGGTAGCGTACGTAAAGAGAAACGATTGCGTCATGTATTTCAACAGTTTCGGTAATCTTCGACCGCCCGAGGAACTGGTGCGATATTTTGGAGACAGTGTTACGATAGAGTATAATCGAATCTATCAGACATACGATCAGAGCGTCTGCAAATAGCTGTGCTTATGGTTTCTCCAAACGGTTGACGCACGTGAATTTATAAAGTCCGACAAAATGCCGCGATGTCTCAGTATTCGTTGAACGCTTTTTCCATCATATCGCTGACGCTTACATTGAATAGGAAGAGCAGTGTTCTCGCGGCAAACTATTTTCCAGCCATAGATTTGAACGACGATGACTACAAGCTTGGTTTAACAATTTTGGAAACTTATCACACAATACCGAATGTAAACGCTTCGAACAATACATTTTATTTTGACAAAGACAACACAGAAATTACGATTCCTGAGGGATCGTACGAACTGCAGGCCATAAATGAATTTTTGAGACGTGAGATTTTACGAAAATGATCGACGCAATGCGCCCGATGGTAACGCTGGTGACACCGCGCGCGGCGATGACGAGATTCGGGAATACCCGATAATGCTCCGCGCAAATTACAACACGATGAGGTGTGAGATTAAATGCGCCTACAGAATAAACTTTAACAAGCCCAATAACATTAGATCGCTGTTAGGTTTCTCGAAGCGTATACTGCAATCGCGAAGATGGCATGAACATGTCAATCAACATAATGAACGTAAACATTATTCGTGTAGAGTACAACCGCGGGCGCGTACAGCAACGACAAAAGTATGCACACGATACACGAATTTTCCGAGCATGCCACTAGGATATAAGATATCGGAAAGGCCGATGCAGATCATTTACTTGCCAGTCATCGTACGGAACATTACAGAACTAATGATACGCATTGTTGACCAGAACGATTGCTCAATTTCAAAAGAGAAGAAATCACCGTCAAATTGCACGTACGACGGCGACAGCGATAACGCGAGCGTGACATTTGAGGTGCTCGTTGAACGAAGTGATGCATACACAGAGAGATAACGCATCTTTTACAAAAAAAACATCGATCGACAATATTCGCTCATCCGGCTGCATCAAGAAGAGGAAGAAACGCATCGAATGTTAAATTTTTACAAGCTTTAGGATTCGCGATGCGCAACTTGTGAGATGACTGATATCCTAAACATCGAAGACGAAGCCAATCTTCGTCAAGATTGAGACTCACACGTACAACCCGTTTGCCAATACAACGTTCGGGTACAGCGATGAGATAAGAATAGCCATACAGCAACAAGATTTGTACACATTGCCGTATGAAAGCTTTCTATATGTCGGAGGAAAACTAACGAAGAACAGAGTTGTCGAAAGATCTGATGTAATATTGGGAAATAATGTTGTCGCGTTCATGTTCGATACGAGCTCGATGGCGTGGAGATTGATCATAACAGAAACGTGGGCATAACGCTCAAACACTACGTAACGATGTCATCCAACAGAAGCGTGATTCTGATTCATATAGAGACGTTTTCAGATTATTTCTGAAAAATGCGATTTTGTAAAATAACTTCATATATGGTTAAATATAGTATAAAATTGCCTTCAATTTTTATTCTTAGGAAAAATTTAAATTACATAAAAATAATAAGAAATAGGGATAGTTTCAAAAATATTAACTTTTTAAAAATCTAAATATACAGTTATAAAGTACATAAGGAATAATAAAAGTTTTGTCTAAAACATTTTTTATATATCTCACTGTTTCATTGATAATCAAAATGAAAATAAAAATATAGATTAGCCTTTGAGGGCTTGTTTCACCTCTTAAAACTCCGATTGGACACATATAAAAAAATACGTCTCTTTTTTGTTTTTAATAACATATTTCAAGGAGAAAAAATCGATTCCGAATAGTTGTAACAGATCCCTTTGAGTAGGATTCACTATCTCCCTCATTTTCAAGTAGATGAATGACGTGATTGAGCTTACATTTGTGTATTCTTGTAAAAATTTTCTTCGATATACGTCTGAAAGATAAAATAATTATATAAACAGAACACAATTCTATAATGTGATAGCAGTAAAGTAAAAGCAATAGAACTTATCACAACAAGACCTATAGCCTTCATTTATGGCAGTACGTATATTTAAATGATTATGTACTGAATTATTTTCAGTTTGTCTAGAAGGAAATATAATTTCGGAAACTATTTGTGGCTCACTTATTGAACCTCCTATAAAACGACAAAAAAATATTTCTCTGGAGTGTAATAGTACTGCATTATCAATCGAAAACAGCGATCTAAAATTTACAACCCAGATTTTAATCTCAAATATTGCACAAAACCAAAAATTTTTCTCGTCATCGAGAAAGGAAATCAAAACGAATAGGGTTTGATTTTGCATTTTCGATGAAAAATTACGAAACGTATCGTTTAATTTCCAGCACACACAATCTAATGACAACGTTACATCACCACATTTATCATGATTATCAATTATTTCAATAACAACTCTGACTCTTCATCCGTTAATGTTATAGAGTTTTAGCACGATTACGAATTACAAATGGTAGTATACTTTTTTCGTCTCTTTCCTCGCTTCGTCAAGCTTTTCCTTATTTTTGAAGTTTTTGGCGATACTTATTTCTCGTAGCGCTGACAGCAAAATATGAAATATTTTAAGATGTAAAATAGTTTGAAATTAAAAAAGAGAAAACAATAACACACACGCACACATATATAAGTAAAATCTATTAAATCTTTTGTACATTTCGTATGCAATGTATGTATATTATTGTATATTATGATATACAACATATAATTATAACCTTGATAGCAAACAGAGATAGAGATTTTGAGCAAGGTCTACTATCAATGTTTGATGGCAGAAAGGTATCAAATTGTATACAAAGTCTGTAATATCTGATGATGTCGGCAAATTGCCATCAAAAATATAACAAAATCTGCTGGCATAACATATCAACAGCTTTGCCGACAAATCTTGAGCCTAATGCGGACACAAATGACTATGGCTTGCAGTCAATATCTGATCGAATTTGCTGCCAGCAAATTGCTAGCATTTTGTTATCTGGGTATGTATACTATGTAATACATAATGTGATTCTTTCTGGAAATTTGAAATAATTACGCGAGTCTAATATACCTTCTTCCCTGTCTTTTCTCATTTCCTCGAACTTTGTGTCATTTATAGGTGTATTCTTCATTTCATCTATTTTTTCTGAAAACAAAATGCAAATGTTACATGTGTTTTAAAATGTTAATGCTTTTTTTTATTTAAGTAGATTACTATTTCAATTCAGCCAATGAAGTTGTCAATATTGCAATATTAAATACAAACAATATATTAACGAATGCTCTTGAATACTTTATACACTTTATGTTCAGTCTAGTTTTAATGTAATACCTGATAAATATGCTTCATCAGAGTATTCTTTGTGCGATAAATCGCTGCCTTTCCGCAGGTCATCCAATACTGAATCGTTATATTCATTATGAGAAATAAAGGCCTGTTTTTTCATTTCCTTTGGTCCATATTTTATGCATTAATAACATGTTATAATTAATTTTATATCATTTGTGAATCATTGCCAATATTATGCATTACGTGTAAAAAAATCTAACCTGGTTTAATGAAAGAAAGAAATTTTTCGATTAGTTGACCATCAGATAAATGTTCACTTTTTTTTGCGGAACATAATTGGAAGGCTTCCAAAATTTCCCTTCTTTTCTCTTTTTTCTTCTTGCTCTTCTAGACAATTTTAAAAATTACATTAATATTTTGATATAACGAACAAAGACATTTCCTATAAATACTTTCATATCCGTTGATGTATCGCTAAAATTTTCATTATACAGAATGCCTAGAAAGTGGTGATCAATGTATGATCATTGAAACAAATGATGATCATTGAATCGCTCTGACAAGGAAATTAAAAAATGTGTTTTTTATTGAGACAATAAATCCCTTAATCAAAATCAATATAGTCATTATAATCATATATAATAGTTAATCAGTTAAGAATCATTTATTGGAGCAAGGCAAAGAACTGTGGCACTTGGAATTACAGCAGAGCTGACAGGTAGCTTTGCACGCGTACTTTTTTGAAACACATTTGGTTTTGCAGTTGCATTTCTTATATGTTCTCCCTGTAACCCTGACACGCTGTTGTAAGAAATGCAGTCTCCCTCAGAGAAATCAGTTTGCTATCCTCGCCTTTGCAGTAATAGCAGCTAAGTCTAATAATCTTTCTTTGCACAGATGTATTTTTGCATGCGTGTATTTGTGTTGCTGAAGTTGGCCATGTTCAGAGCAGAGTGTGTACAAATCATCATCAACACTCTTCATCACTGCTAAGATATAGAAGAATGTGTGAGGAGCGATAGGCAGAGTACAAGCGATAACAGATGAAGATAAAAGAATGTCAGTTATAGGCAGAGTATATGAAGCGATGAAAGATAAAGATAAAAGAATGTCAAATTGATGAATTCAATACACACTGCCCAACAAACCGTGGGCATTATATAAAATGTTCGGGCTATTTGTGAAATACCTGCCTATTATACACACTGCCCAAAACAATTGGGCATTCTATACAATGCCCGGTCATTTTATAAAATCCCCACATTAAACACATTGACCGTAACATATACATTCATATTTTCCGATAAACATGGGTATAGAGGCAATGAATTTTTTGTTAAAAATTTTTTCGCAATTACGGCGGAAGTATCTCCGTTGTAACAAATGTTTAATAACAACAATTGTTAAGTTTAAGTTTTTTAGTTATCAGAACAAAGTCTTTAAATTGCACGATGTGCTCTTTTGCAATTTGCGGGAAGAATTTCTCGAAATTCCTCCTTTAATATAAAATGAGTAGATTCATTGCCAATAAGTAATATAATTATAAGTTCAGTATTTATTTCGGAGATTCTGTTGTAGCTGCTATACAGCTGCTGCAAAGGCTTTTCGGTTTTTCGAAGCATTTTCTTTAATGTCTGTATGTAATTTTCAAAAAGAAATGCAGAGAAATTGTCCATATTTGATTACGTCTTTGTTTAAATTGTGCACGTTATAAATAATTGAATCTTCTCCGTACAACTGTTTACATACTTTCACAAAATAAATCACAGATCTCTGCTATATTCATTGTTGTGTAAGCAATCGATTGGATGACATAGTATGCGAATAACACAATGTAGCACATTGAAATGTTGTAAATTATCGTGGCAACATATCATATAGAGCGATTGGTCCTACATATAGAAAAAGCAACCGCAATTCAGTTGCTTTCCATCGAGGCGAGTCGTCTGTAACGTCCGCAGAAAATTAAAACTTGCGGACGTTCATCCGAAATGATGTAGGTGCAGTCGAACCTTAGGTTAACGCATGCGCAACCTTAAATATTAAGATATAAGATTATAAATATTGATATTTTAAATATTAAGATTTAAGTATTAGGATACAACTTTCAAAGTCTTACCATTTTATATATAAGTGTGTTCCCTTTTTTTTTATGTATAATCCTTATTATTATTAAGATATATAATTAATATTAAGATATATATATAATCAATAATAAAGCGAGAATTCATTTGATTCATTTTCGTCATCAGTTAAAATCTTGCTGCGCAACGAAAGACTCTCCGAGTTGGCCCTTCGTTTGAAAGTTTACATTAGAAATATTTGAGTGCGATAAGCCTCCCCTATAATATAAACTGAGGCTATCGAACGCTCTTTCGTCTCTCCTACAGTCGCAGCATCGAGAACAAAGAGGAAATAATTCGAGAAAAGAAAATTAAGTTATAGAATTATATTTCCGAATTATACATCCAAAAGGAAACAATAATAATAGTAATAAAACAAAATTATGTCTTATTGCGAGGCGAAGGAAAATGAATTCTCATTTTGAATAATAAGATTTACCTTTAAGCATTATATCTTAATTATATCTTCGAAATATTAGGCTTAGTTTTTCTTTTCTCCTTTCCCTTTCTTCTATTTTCTCACAAAGAATTGTAGTACAAAATAAATGCTCAGTCGAGGAGTGCTTTGTTTGCCCCTCCCCTTTGCGCCTGGCCCAACTCTAGAGATACGGCTTGGGCGCGGACGGGTCAGTGGTGAGCGAACCTCCGAAGAGCGCAGTCGTTACCAAACTGTTAGAGAGTGCAGTCACTATCTCAAACCTGAATCTTACAACCACAAAGGAAAAATAAAGGAAAGGAAAGCGAAGTCACTATAATTCTAATTCATTTAATAATTCACCTCTAACAATTTAAGATGTTCTAGATGTCCTTTCCCAAACCCCATTAACCGTTCTACACCATCTCGGGACGTAACACGTCCAATGATCGTGGTTTTCGAGGAAATTCCTTCGGTATCCATTTTGAAATAGCAATTAATTTGTCAGACAACCTTATTATTTTTTATCCACTTAGCTTTGATAAATCTACTTGTCCATAATTGTAATAGTTTCTTCCTAAACACACTAGATGCATATAATCTAGAAGGAAACGTGACACCATAGGCAGTATGAATTCCAATATGGATACCGAAGTATGGAGATGTGTCAGTATAGTGATCTTCTTGCAATCTATTTTTAAAATTCTCATCAGTTCGAGTAGGTGAATCCAATTCTAAAAAAAGCATGCGATGATTGTCAAACGTGCCTTCTTGTATACATTTTCCACATCCGAAAAAGCCATTGTGTCCTTTAGTATCCGTAACAAACAATTTGACAGGGCTATCGCAAATTACACATCTAATTTTCACTGCATAGTTTTTCCACGGAAAATAATTCCTGTGCGTCGAAGTTCACGGTATTCTTTGCAAAAAGGAGCCAAAAAATCTGTTACATTGATATACAAAATGATATACAAAAAATTTTTTTGCATTAAAATCGAAGGTTTGAATTCAATTATACGGGAAAATTGTCTTATTATACATATAGCAAAAAAGTACTTATAAGTTATTATGTTTCGTTCTTTGCCATCAGCTTAAGAATTTTTTCGTGAAAAGAGTAGAACTTTTGTCATGTTTAAGTCCACTTAAGCCTCGTCTACAATGCGTCATGTGTCGGTGTCATGGATCGTGGGCCGTAAGAATGGACTAATTACAATCAAGTATTCTCTCCACATTCGTCTGTGATTGGCCCGTTCTTACGGCCCACGACCCACGACACCGACATGACGCATTATAGACGAGGCCTTAGAGTCGACTTATAGTCGATTGAAACATAGTTGACTAATAGTCAATTGTGCTTAGTCGATTTTCAGTTGACTTTCAAAAGTCGACTAATACTCAGCAAATAGTCGACTACTGTCGACTTGTAGTCTACTGTTGAAAGTCGACTTTAAATCAACTGGGAATAGTCAACTAACAGTCGATATTTCAAAGTCGATTTTACGCCAACTGAGAAAAGTCGACTATAAGTCAACAAGTCACTTGTGTTGTATGGGTTAAGATCTATTTTATTTTTATCTGAATCTTATGATTTAAAACATTTTACTTTAAATATTAAATTGCCACATATAATAGTTTTCTTAAAGAGACACTCTTTTATTTCTCTGAAATTATCCTAACAGCACAAAGTTGATTTTAAATCAATTCTCAGTCGACTATAACTGCTAGACGTCTGGAAAATAGATGTCTGTAAATCGACTTTAGTGTCAGTCCACAATAGGTGACTTAAGCTTTAAGAAGTAAGAAATTGACCAATTATAATCGAATATGAAAAGAATAATCGACTATGATTGGTCAATTTCTTACGGTTTAAAGATTAAATACTTATTGTGGACCGACACTTAGACGACTTAAAGACATCTTTAAGTCATACAATGTCCCACTTTAAAGACAACTGTAAGCCAACTTTAGCCATTATACAGACATTCTAGGATTAATACTGCATGCGCACCTTGCAATGACGGGAATATTTAAATTGGAAAAATAGGTTTTGTAAATAGATTTTTTTATTTTCTAATTATATTACATATAAATAATTATATTTTTTATTGTAATATATAAATGACTTTAATTTTCCAAAATAAAAATTAAAAAATAATATAATCTATAGGTATTGATATATGATATTATATGATATTATATGATATGATATTATATAATATATACAGGTTATATATATAACCTAGTTATATATATATTTTGCAATTTCTGCCTTCAGCTTATCAAGTAATGATGCGTAATACGCTCCCATTATTGTTTTACCTTTTTCAAGATAGTCGATACACACAATTCCGTGACTATCCCAAAAAACAGTCGCCATTACTTTTTCAGCTGATGGAACCGTCTTCACCTTTTTCGGAGCAGATTCATCCTTTACAGTCTACTGTTTTGACTATTCTTTTGTCTCTGAAGTGTAGTGGTGGATCCAAGTTTCATCTACAGTGAATCGACGCAAAAAATCTGACTCGTTTTGCTTGAACCGCTCCAACAGGATCTGGAAATGTTCATTCGAATTCGTTTTGGTCCAAAGTGAGCAAGCGCGACACCCAACGCGCGGATAGCTTGCGCATATCCAATTCTTCAGTCAATATATAACAAACGCGTTCTTTCGATATGCCCATAGCCTCTGCTATCTCTCTAACTTTGATTCGACGGTCGTCCAGTACTATTTGGTGAACATTTTCGATGTTATCAGTGGTCGCAATTTTTGACCGTCCCGAACGCTCATCATCAGCCAAGCTGATACGACTACATTTAAATTCAGCTGCCCATCTTTTTACGGTGGCAAATTATGGGGCAGAGTCCCCGTAAACAGCGTCCAACTCGATTTTAATTTGCGCAGGCGTATTGCCTTTCAAATGTAAGAATTTAATCACGGCACGATATTCAATTTTTTCCATTTTTACAAAAACACTGACATCGACTGACACAAATGACTGTCAAACAACAACTGAGCATCCAAAATGGCTAAAATTTTCACAAGTCTTTCAAAGTATATACTATTGTAATACTAGAATGGTTTTAACGAGTAACGTCATCTTCATGTTAAGGCTCAAAACTTTTCAGACTATCCTCGTAAATCATAAAATAAAATTTTATGATTTATGTGTTTATATATTCACATAAATATAAAAAAGTATAATAATAGTATAACAAATAAATATAACAAATTATAAATGTTAACGGAATTAACAATTAGTGGAAAACTTACAAAACTACAAAACTAATATTATCCAGCAAACACAATATTATATGTAACGTACATGTTAGTTATATATGACGCATGTGTTATGTAACAGTTACATTGTTGAGTAGGAAATTACAACTAACATATACGTATAACATTGTGTTTGCAGAGTAATATATACAAGCAAAATATTATTATTTATTATTATTTGCAGCGTCTCTTATTCTATCAGCTGACCGATGGAGCCATTCTTGGATTGCGATTTGTAGCTGAATAGACGTCGAATCTGGCAATCGTGTCATTACTGAATCTGAAATACATTAATACAATTAAAAATACATTAATAAAAATAAAAATATGAAATATAATATTTTAATCAATTAATTATATATACCAATTAATTAAATATAAAACAATAGGTTTGTTCTGGTTGACTATACTTTTCCATTTTCAAAGACCGTGGCGAAAATAAAGCGTAAATAAAGAGTTGAGCGTAAGCCGAATGTAACTGAAGAGTGACAGAAGTGTAAACAAATCTTTTAGGAAGTGTAGATTGGAACAATGGAACGTAAAAGAAGCATTAAAACGCTTCTTAAACGTTTTATATTTCTTTTACATTTCGCTGTTCCAATCTACGCTGCTTAGAAACTTTGTTATCATTTCTGTCACTCTTTTTTTACATTCAACTTACGTTCAACTCTTTATTTCTGCCTTATTTTCGCCAGGGGAAAATGCAGATTTTAATTAACTGGTAAAAATAGCAACCAATGAGAACTTGCACTTTTCGCAAAAGTGTAAAAATGTAGGCAACCAAGGCTATGTTCCAAAATTAGCTGTCAGTAGTGAAAAAATATGATTTCATCTATCAGAACTGGTGTTAAAAAGAAATGAAATGATGTTTTTAGGTTTTAGTATTAGTAATGGTAGTTAATTTCGGGAAATGCTCCAAAACAAATTGTACTTTTAGCCTAGATTCTAGATGCAGTTATCAGCGCTAAATGGTGAAAAATGAATGGTAGGGATAAAACGACAAATAAATTTTTGCTATTTACGCCTACTATTCGTTTTTCATCAATCAACGCTGTCAAAGCACTGATATTTGTATGAGGATCTAATTTTGACGAGCTCGATTTTTATTTATTTTTTTCTCATTACATGGGATTAAAGGTGAGATGAAAGTTCGATAAAGTTTGAAAATATTGTCTTATGTATTAGAATATTTATGTGATGATTAGAAACAGATATTTTACAAACAATTCTAATTTTGAATATAATTTTCACAGTCATGTAATTTACAAAATTATATTTATTAAAGATATATGCAAGCTGTTGAGGTCTTCATACTTTGATATATAATGTTATATTCAGTTTATCGGTATTTTTATATAATATTTACGATGAATTTCATGAACGGCACGAAGATTGTCTACAAAATGCTATTCCTAATTTCACAAAAATATTTTAAACCTTCTTATTAGATAGGAAAATAGGTAATAGAATAAATGTTACCAATTATTTATTTGGATATGGATGTGGATATTTGGATTTGGATATGGTTTGGTGGATTTAAAATCTACATCACTCTTTTGACCTGTCCATGTCATTTGAGTACCTAATTAATTGTCCGTCGAACCTCCAATTCGATATATCATGTGTTCCTGTAATATAATCATGAAGAATGTACACAAATAAAATATTATGAGTGGAAGAAATGTAAATCTGACTGCAAAAATGAAATATACGTGTTTTAAAACATGTTCAGACAATTAATTTGATTGTATCAATTATACATTTTTTAAATTTAATTTTGCTACTTTAAAATATTTATTTGTATTTTGTCAAATTTTATTTTTTATACCAAATCCTTTCATATCAAATCCTTTTCAATGATGCTCGATATAAAATTATCAAATTCAATATTACAGATAAAAACAATCCTTGATAATACACGAGAAATTAAATGTAAACAAAATTAAAAAATTATAAGGTGATTAAATTTCTGAAAAAAAACATAATTTTTCTACCAGGCAGTACAAACATTAAATAATATTTAATTAAATATTGATACTTAATAAATATAACAGTATGAATATACTTACAAATTGTTTTCTCGTGTCGGCATCCACTTTCAATTGATTTTCAAACTGAAAAAATTGTTAAAGCGTTGTCATAGGCAACGGAGATAACAGATCTTC